CCTCCCTTGCGCTCTTGCTCTTTGCCACCACCATGAAAAGTTACTTTTTGCTCTGTACTGCTCTGCGTTGGACCCAGCTGAGTATGGACTGAAACCTCCAGTAACTGTGAGCTAAATAAACCTTTCCTTTCTTCATTTTGAGTGTTGGGTATTTGTCCCAGCAACGAGAGAAGAGTAACTAAGACACAGAGGGAAGTGATTCAGGTAGAAGTTTTAATACTTGCAAAGGGATGAAGAATATAAAGAATGTGGACATCAGGGAACCAGAAGTAGTTGAAGACTACTGAAATGGTGAGGGGCTGGAAGGCATAGAGATAAAGCTGGATGAGGCTTGGATTTCATAGTAAGGTAGGCCCAGATAAGGAAGGGAGTTATTAGCCTTGCAACAGTTTGAATTTTATCTTTAAAATTTCTTTTTCTTTTTAAATTTTTTTTTGTGGAACCGGGGATTGAACTCAGGCCCTTGTGCTTGCCAGGGAAGCTCTTATTCCACTGAGCCATCTCCCGGATACAGGGTCTCACTATGAAGTTCAGACTCACAGTGATCCTCCTGTCAGCCTCTACAGTGCTGGGATTACAGGCATGTGTTACCAGGCTGGCTTGGTACAACTAGCAATCAAATTTGGGTCTTTGCACTTGCCAGGCAGGTGTTTAGATTGTTGAGCTCCATCTCCCCAACCCCCTAAGTTTTATCTTATAAGTCTTGGAAAATCACTGAGAAATTCTTTTTTGGGGGGTAGGATGGGGGTGGGGGTTCACTGTAGTTCACACTGGCCTTGAATTCACTTTGTAACCCAGGCTGTCCTTGAACTCACAGCAATCCTCCTGCCTCAGTCTCTCAAGGTGCTGGGATTACAGATGTGCTCCATCATTCTTGGCTAGGATTTTGGATCAGAAGAGTAATTTTATGTAAGAGTATTTTTGTATATGGTGGATTGGATGAAGGCAAGAGCAGAGATATGGTAAATGGCCAGGACTGGAAGTTCAGGAGAGAGATGACAAAGATTTTATAAATATTAATCAAAATTTAAAATATATAAAAATAACTATTTTATAAAATGACAAGAAAAATGGTACTGCTAAATTTTCTAACTTGGTGGTCACTGATGTCATTATTATTGGGGAGTAGAAAAACGAGTAGTAAATTAAGAACCAAAAAGATTAAACAGCTGTTGTAGTATAGCTCAGCAGCACAAACACCTGCCTGGCAAATTCAGGGTCCTGAATTTGATCCCTGGTTAAAAAAATAAACAACAAAAAACAATAACAGACAAAACTCTGAGTACCAACTACTTTTAATAGGCAACTGATTGTGAAAGTTGGAGAACTTCAAACCTATATAAAAAGCTGAGACAAGAGAAATTTATTTCTTTTTTACATATTTGGTACAGGGTCTAAGTATGCAGCTTGGACTCAGTGATCCTCCTGTTTTCAGCCTCCCCAGTGCGGGGATTACAGGTGTGTACCACCACACCTGGAATTTGGTTGCTGGCTCAGCACACCTGAGGGCAGGGGCTGGCATGGCATATGGGAATGGGGATCAAACCCTGGTCCCTGTGCTTGTTATCTTGCCAACCCTTAAGAGAAATTTAAAGTTGTACTATGAGACAAGGACAATTTACATTTACATGAATAGAAAAAGGAAAAAGTAGGGGATGTTCTTTTCTTAAAGATGGAAAGAACCTGGATATGCCTACGTGCTGAGGAAAAGAGGAGAATGGAAAATGGGAGATTTAAAATATGGAAAAGAAAGGAGATCAGAGATGAAGGCAAGTCCTTGAATGGGCCAGGGAGTAGAGAATGGAGGCACACACAGTGGAGAGAAGGAAGACAGGTGAGGGGCGATCCAGACAGGATGATGAGTAGGGTGGCATCACCTGGAGGGAATTCAGACAAATATTTTCTTAGAGAAATAGTGAGGCGGTTTTGAGGAGACAAAGCTTAAAGTTGAACACGTGGAAAGGGCAGCTGTGTTTGAAACCAGGCAAGGGGACTCAGGGTGTATATTTAGATGTTCTGCAAGGCTGTCCTGCACACATAGGTGGGGGTTTGGAAGATGACTGGATTGTGGGGCTTACAGCTGATTTGCTGTTTATTTTTATTTTTGTGTTTTAAGGAAGGGTCTATAGGGTGTCCAGGGTCTTACTACTAGATCAGACTTGTAGTGATCTGCCTGCTTACAGCCTCCCAAGAGCTGGGATTACAGGTGTGCATCACCATGCCCAGTCACAATTGCCATCTCAGTGGGCCCTGGTGGAGGGCCAGCATGGCAGGCCCAGGGATCAAACCCCCGGTCTCTGCGCCTGCTTGCAGGTGCTTTAATCTGCTGAGCTATTTGGCTGGCCCAGGCATTTTACTCTAATGATCAAGAAAGTGACTAACACAGGGAATGAAAATGAAAGCTAGCAGCACCAGATCTGGTGTTAATGCCAAAGCTGAGACTCAAATCCATAAAATTCTATGGTGCCAATCTTTAAAATGGTGTAATTTACTCTTAGGGGCATAAATGTTTGCTTTATACATTCCTAGAGTCTTTGGGTTGGATTTGATAGAAAAGGAAGGATGAAGACAAGACTAGAGCTGAAACAAAGAGGAGGAATAAAGAGGACAATGTGTTTGCAAAAACACGATGACCAGCATATAGAATAGACCTTACTGGCAGAAAAAGTTGGGCTAATAGCTTGGGATGTTAGTCCAAGATTTGGGGAATGGAGCTATTTTGGGTGATGAAAGAGGTGAGATGGAGTGGAAACAAAGATGGTGTAGTGATCAAATTATATAAATTTGCAAATTGCTTTGAAGGCCAAATTTGGCAAAGAGCGGATGTTATGGTTTATATCGATATGTTTCCCCAAAGTTTCATGCATTCATAGATGGGGCTTTTGGGAGGTGGCTGGATTTGAGGTGTATGACACTCGTCAGTGAAGTAGTCTAGCCAAATGTGTTGCTGTGAGGTGAAGTTGGAGATGGGTCCCTTCTTCCTCATCTCCACTTCCCACTACCATGTAGTGAGGTGTTTCTTCTCTGCCATGCCATGCTTCCTGGAGCCAGTGGACTACAGACTGAAACTTCTATAGACTGTGAGCCATAATAACCATTCCTTCCTTAATTTGCGGGTGTTTGAATATTGCATCCCAAAGATGAAGTCACTGAGACTTAAGGAATGTGAAACAGTAAAAATGTGATTAAGAGTCCTACATAAGTGATGTTGACACAAAAAGGGAAAAAAGAGGAAACAATGTGGTATAGTCCCATGATCTAGGCTTCAGATGAGATCATGGAGTCAGAAGCAGACCACTTTCATTGCCCTTCTACATTTTCTGCAAAGGTACTGGAGATATATATTATATATATATATATATATATATATCTTTCATAAAGTTTTAAAAAGTGAAATATATAGGGTAGAAAAATAATAGTTAAAAAAAAAAGAAAAATAATAGTTTTGCCCACCCCAGCCCCATTTATTTTGAGACCATTTTTAGTGCACTTACATGTACAAAGAATATGTTTTTGAGTTTTGGCATAAATAATGCTGTTTTTTACAAGTGGATGTTTGTTTTAATTGTGACTCTTTCAGTTGCCTGGTGTTCACATGCGATCTCTGCCTCTGGTGTAAATCATCACAGAGTGATAGATACCACATTAACTGCCTCCTATTCATAGATATTGATGTTCTTTCCATTTTTTCATGATTACAAGCAATGCAAAGTCATTATGTATTTTTTGTGCTTATATTGTTCCCTAAAATAACTACTGGTGAAAATTTTGTTTAATTTTTAAAAAAATTTAAAGAAAACTTTTTAATTTTTAAAAGTAAAAAGTTGGTAAAATTTTTATTTTATTATTATTACTTTTTTGTGGCCCCCTCAACCCACGTTGGGGGCAGGGCTGGCGTGGCATGTGGTGCTGGGGTTTGAACTGTGGTCCCTGCTCCTTGTCTAAACTTGCCTAACCAGGCCGTTTAGACCACTGAGCTATCTTGCCAGCCCCGGTGAAAATTTTAAATTTAAGGTTATTTTGATTAATTCTGCTTAATCTTCCTTCAAAGTACTTGACTAATTTACATTTTTGTCAATAATATTTGAGAGTAGCCAAATCTCCACTTCTGTAACAAACAATAAATATAATTTTAATACATAGCATAATTCCAAATTATTATAATTTTAGGATATCACTTTCTCAGGTGAAAGTATAATTTAACCAGTCAATATAATGAAGTGATGAAGGCTGCTACTGGTGTAGTCAGCCAAAATGAGTTCATATTGTATTTTGGTTTTGCCACTTGCCTATGTGCTAATTAAATCACTTTTAGTTACAGTGTTGTGGTAAGTTTATTTCTTGAGACTACAAGGAAGATACTTATGGATAATTCCCTAGTATTTATCATTACTGAGCAGAGAGCAAATAGAGGTGGTTAGATAGTTCATTATGCTTCCTGAGCTGTTCCCATCGAGTTTTTCCCTCCATAGCGTTACATTAAAAATAATAATTAAAAAAAAAGGAACACAAGCGGACAGTGCTCTGTTTCAACAGGTGCCATCCTAGAAATCCGAGATGAGGAGGCGATGGACAATAATAACACAGGCTGAGCTTTTGGGACGTTTAGATTCCGGTAGTTAAGCTTCTCCACATATTTCCTGTAGGCATTCAGTTTGGGATTACAGGTGCCCGGATACTACGGAATATTAGAAATATTATGGTTAAAAAGAAGAAACTCGGCCAGTTTTCAAGGCGGTCCGTGTCTCTTAAAGCCCCCGGAAGCAAGATGGCGCTTTCCCTCAGCGTAGAATCAGCAGAGAGATTTCCATTACGTATATCACTCTGGTACTAGTATGGCATCTTTGCCATTATCCAAGATGGCGAACCGCGCGTCCTCAAGGTTTCCAGGTTTCAGTATGGCCCCCTCAACCCCGCGCCGACCAAAAGGTTAACCACAGGAAGGAAAAGGAAGGGGAGCGGAAGTTACGCAGAGGAAGTAGTTTCGCGTCGAAACCACGCCCCCACCCGCCCCTAGCCCTAAGCTCCGCCCTCAGCGGCGCGCAGAGCAGAGGCAAGATGGCGGCTGAGTTGGAGTACGAGTCTGTGCTGTGTGTGAAGCCGGACGTCAGCGTCTACCGGATTCCACCCCGAGCCTCCAATCGCGGCTACAGGTACAAATCCTGAGGCACTGCCACACACGCGCACCCATGGGTGATGACACTTGTCGCCTTAGGTACCATTCTGCCAGCGCCTGCCGTTGCTACCGATGAGTTGTCACTTAGCTAACCTACGCTTCCCTCAAAGTCCTGTTCCCTTGCTTTCTTTCCACTCTGGACTGTCACTGACCATGTTTCCGCCTTTTACAATTTTTCCGTTTATTTTATTTTTATTACCGCTCTGCATCATCCTGCCTTTCCTCCCCCATACCCCTGGGGACATCCATCTGCTCCCTGTCAGGCGCATCCATTCATGCCTGCTCCTTCGCCACCTCTTCCGTTCGTTCTTCGCTACGCCCTTCAGCTCGCAGTCTTTATCACACATCTGTTCCCAAGTCCTCGTGCACGCTCCTGGGTAATCATTGGGTTGCTGATCACTGGATGATGTAATTTAATCTTCTGTACTGTTGTCATTTTTGCCGTTGATACTATCATTCACCATTTCGTCTTCTGTTTATATTTTTTTTGCCAGTAGGCAAAGGCTATGTTTGCCAATGGTTGTCCATTACATTTCGTTATATTTTGTTGTTTATATAGTATTTTATTTTTTTGTTTTCTCTCAGCCTTTAACCTCTCCTTCAGTATTTCCTCCAGAGTTAACACATTTTTCTTTGTAGGGCCTAACAAACCTTGTACCCCACTTACTGTGAGGGATCTGAGGATGTTATAGACATTGACTTTACTGGGTTATGTTAAAAAAAAATACAAGTTTATACCCTGCCCACTTAATAGCTGTATAACGTGGGAGGCAGATCTCAACCTTTCCAAGCCTAAGCTTTCTCATCTGTAAAATAGAAAAAAATATTAATGCTAGAATCATATGCTTTGCTTACATATCTCACAGGGGGTTTTGTTGGTTATTATTATTATTATTATTATTATTTTGTGGAATTGGGGCTTGAACTCAGGATCTTGCACCTATGAAGCAGGTGTTTATGCCACTGAGCTATCTCCTCAGGGATAGCGCCATAATCACAGGGGATTATGGAAACTAAAATGAAATCATATAATGGGTATGAAAGAATGTAAGATACATTAAAATTATAAATATATTTTTATTTGTCTTTTGGACTCATATCACCATGATGATTTTTCTTGTGATATTTAGCATTATCTTGGCTGAAATATTATTTTCTCCTTGGGTTCATTTTGCCTCTACTTGAGGCACATTCATCACAAATCTGTATCTTTGTGCTTGTACGTCTATGCATTAGGCCTAGTGAGTTGTTCCCCTTGGCAAAGGAAATAGTTCTACCTTTAGGAAGCTAGCAGTCAGACTGCAAATTGACCATGAATAGCAACCAGAATGCTTTTTGTTGGTCACGGGTACTACGTAACTGTGACTCACCTCATGCATCATTTTTTTTGGGAAGCTTTGACTGACTCTTCTATTATGGTTTAGGGGTTGTCTCTGTGTGCTTCTCTTGTACATGTCACTGTGCTCTTTGTTTTCTAATGTAATGGATTATTTAGTCTCTTTTTGATCAGAGCAGACTCTGAACAGTGTGAGTTTTTTTTAACTTTGTACCATTAGGGTCTGGCGCAGTGTCTGGTACATGGTGGGTACTCCAAATGTTCACAGAGAAAAGAAATTAGATAATGCAGATCAACCTGATTACATAACATCAATTGAATTGCTAAAACAGGTAAGAGAACTCATTTCAAACCTTCTACATACTTCCAGCTTTTAATAATACCTTCCTCCTTACTGATTTGCACTCTCAATTTTTATACCTTAGTTTACTCATAGCCTTTATCCTTGTATTAAGTTCATTGGTCCTTGTTAAAGCAAATTCTTAATTTTCCCAATACTCCTTTTCTTTTACCCTTCTGTGATTTCCATACTTCTTATTGGCATTTCTGAGCTTTCAGCTGGTATTTTTAGATATTTTAGTGTAGTAAACGAACAGAACAGTTTGACTTTATTCACTGTGTTACCTTTGACAAATCACTGAATTCTTCTGAACTTTAGTATTTTCATCTATAAAAACAAATCTAACTAATACCTTTTCAAGATCCTATCACTTAATTTTCATAAGAATGGTTATAATGCCTAATAGACACAGGGTAAATATCTTTCTCTTCTGTCCTCCTTTTGTCTGACCCTACTGCACACATCTTCCTCTGTGTGTGTGTGTGTGTGTGTGTGTGTGTGTGTGTGTAGTAGTAGTAGTAGTAGTAGTACTAGTACTGGTAGTAGAAGTAGTAGTAGTAGTAATGGTACTCAGAGATTTAACTCAAGGCCTCATGTGACATACTGGGCAAATGTTCTACCACATGGGGATGTTATAGCCACATTCTCAGCCAAGAAATGTTATTTTTGTGTCTTGTTGTCTGTTTAGTCTTGTTTACTAGAACCCGTTTTAGGGCTGGGGAAATGGCCTAGTGGAATAAGTGTTTCCCTGGCAAGTGGAAGCATCTGAGTTCAATCCCTGATTCTGAAAAAAAAAAAAAAAAATCAGTCTTCCCTTGGGGCTGGGGAGATGGCTGAGTAGAATAAGTGCTTCCCTGGCAAGCACAAAGGCCTGAGTTCAATCCCTGGTTCAGCCAAACAAAAAAAAAAAAGAACCTATTTTATACTATGAACATGATTTATTTTCTAGGCTGCCAATAAAGGACAAACTGGGTTTTTTGACAAGCAGAGGACTCTTTCCTTTGAGTGACTAATAAGGTCAAAGAGAATAAGTGGCTTTGGTTTGCCTAGTACAAACTTGCTTTATTTCTTTCTGTTTTGGTACCAGGAATCAAACTCAAGACTTTGTGCTTGCCAGGTAGGCACTGTGCCACTGAGCTATATCCCTGGCCCCCGAACTGCTGCTTTCTAAACTTGTGCTGACCAGAGTTTTAGACTATGAGAAGGAAAACTTAGGTTGATAAGAAAACTTATAAGTGAGTAGAAAATAAATTTTCTAATCTATAAAACTTAAAAAAAATTATTCTCTCTTTCTGTCGCTAATCAGTATTAAACTTTGGGGGGGGGTAACCCGCTTGGGCCCCCCTCCTGTCCCTCTCTCAGACAGGAGCTTTCTTTCCCTCAATAAATATATTCTGCTCATAACCTCCGTTTGTTCCTAAAATTCATTTTTTGGTTTTAGAGAACACGAACTCGTCCCAGTTACCTTTTAGGTTGGGAGATTAGTTTTTCTCCCTGTCATTTGGAGAGTTGGCATACCAACTCTCTACAAGGAATGTCATCATTATGGACTACTAATGTACAAGTAAAAAAGCAAATAAAAAAAAAATTGAACTTTGTAGTGTGTATTAATGGAATGCAAAGAATACTAGACTTTGAAATGAAGCATTACTGCTGTGGTATTATCTTTTCAGGAGATGGGGGAAACAGGGTTTTCGTGGCTGTTGGCAGGGCTTAATAAAATGTATCTGTGGAATCTCACAGTGATTCATAATGATTCATATATAAAGTTTTGTTGCTAAAGTAAACGAACAGTTCTGGAGGCTAGATTTGGAGCAGGAGAACTGATGCCCAAGGCTAAGGGATATTGCTGTTACGAGTGTCCATTTAGTTACTCAGAAATTTGTAAACTTGAGCCACTAGATACACAAGATTAAACAAACAAGCAAATAAACAAACAAGGAACCTGTCCAAAGAAATGCATCGAGTAGGCTTGTTCTAATGTTTTCAGTTGTCCGCTTGGGCTTATGGCTAAGGTGAGCATAAATGTTACGACTAGAAGCAGCAATACCTACTTAAAAATTAATAGAGATCTGCAGAGACATCTGGATTAGAGGCAGGTACTTGAAGGTATTTGAGAACAGAGCATCAAGAAATAAGGGAGTGACCAGGATTTATTGTACAAATTCTGCTCAAAACCTCTGCTGGCTTTATTTTTACTTTCCTTCTTTCAGCCTTTTGCTTACCATCTTACTAAACTGATTTTTTTTTTTTTTCTTCAGAACTGGGGATTGAACTCAGGCCCTTGCACTTGCCAGACAAGCGCTTATTCTACTGAACCATCTCCCCAGCTCCTAAACTGATTCTTGTTCAGAGATACCTGAGTGTTAATTTTCCAGCCTGTGAATATCAGCGTTAGATTCATTATACATCTCAAATGCAGTGCACTCAGAACTGACCCCCTGGCTTTTCTTCCTAGATATGTTCCACTCAAGGGCTTTGTTTCAGTTTTTGGCAACTCTTTTGTCAAGGCTGAAAACCTTGTAAACATCCTCGGCTTTTTTCTTTTCTACCATACACCTACCTAATCTATTCAGTTCTGCTGCTTTTATCTTAAGTACATCCAGAACCTATCTAGTTTCTGGTATTGTCTTTTCTCAGTCATCATCATGACTCACCTAGATTACTACTGTAGTCTCCTAGCCCTCCCTCTTTAGCCATCTTGTCCCTACATCTCTTTTTCATACAGCAGAAAAAATAATCCTTATAAATGTAAGGGGGATCAGGTCACACATCTGCTTAAACTCCCTTTGACTCAGAGGAAAAGGTGAAGTATTTTTATGGCTTACAAGGCCTTCCATTATCTGGCCACTCTGTTACCTTTGCTGTTTACCTTTACTTTTCATTTAGTTGGTCTCTTACTGTGTTCTAAGCATAGTGAGTTCCTTGATGTCCTTAAACACGACAGGCATGCCCCCTCTTTCGTACCATGTGCACTAGCTACTTTCTGTGTGGAGAATGTGTTTCCTCAGGAAAATGTCTGGCTAATCATCTCACTTGCTCCTCATTTTTGTGTACATTTTACCTTCCTAATGAGGCCTACCTTGAACTTCCCGGGATGCTGTTGTCTGGTGCTCTTGCTGCCCCAGCATTTCTTTGCCTGCCTCTTCATTTCCTTTTTACTTTAGTATTTATAACCTTCTAACATAATATAATTATGTTAATTATTATGTTTACCTGTCTTCTATTGGAATGTAAGCCTCACAAGTAGAAGAACATTTTGTTTGCTGTTGTATCCTGAGTGCTGAGAGTAGTACCTATGATTTAGTAAGAGCTCTGCAGTTTAGTGAGAATCTCTCTCAAAATAAAAATATAGATAGAAAAGTGCTGGGAATGTAGCTCAGTGCAAAGGCCCTGGATTCACTTCTCAGTACAGAAAACAAAACAAAACAAAATCTCTAGATATGTATTGAATTCAGTATAATAATATGTTTAGTGATTTTTTTACTCTGAATATTTCATTTAGTACGTTGATTTTATTGTTACCTGGTCAATAAGACATCATTATGTAGAATATCATGTACAGTATGAAAATAGCATCATTATGAAAAACTTTATGTTCTAAATTTTTAGTTAAAAAGAAATTTTTTAGGGGCCGGGGAGATGGCTCAGTAGAATAAACGCTTCCCTGGCAAGCACAAGGGCCTGAGTTCAATCCCCAGTTCAAAAAAAAAAAAAAAAAAATTATGGTGCTAGGGATTGAACTCAGAGCCATACACATGTTAGGCAAATTCTCTACTACAGAACTATACACCTAGTGCCAAGTAATTTTACTTTTACTGTTTTTTTTTTTTTTTTTTTTCTGGAACCGGGGATTGAACTCAGGCCCCTGAGCTTGCTAGGCAAGTGCTTATTCCACTGAGCCATCTCCTCAGCCCAACTTTTTTTTTTTTTTTTTTTTTGAAGTATTTGGTACAGGGTCTACAGGGTCTCACTATACACATGGGATTGCAGGTGTGCACCACCAGTCTCAGTCGGTGTCTAAGTGCTCCCTAGGGGCAGGGACAGCATGGCACGCTGGGAATTGAGCCCGGGTCCCTGCGGCTGCCTCAGCAGGTGCTTTAATTTGCTGAGCTATCTGGATGGCCCTATAATCTTAATTTTAAATTCCTTTTATTTGTACTTTAATAGATGTGAGAGTCTTCCAGTAGTAACATTGATTTTACTTGTTTTGAACTGCGTGCAACATGACATATGTGTATGAGGCGATTATGAGTTATTCTTGTTATTTATTATGTAGAAGGAGTAGATTACTCTGGACAGGGGAATAGAACTATGGCAAATGATTCCGAGAAGACTTTAGTACATTGAAGTGCATCTGAAGGCTGAGGCTTCCCATTTTCCTGTCCTAGGGCATCTGACTGGAAATTAGACCAGCCTGATTGGACTGGTCGTCTCCGAATCACTTCAAAAGGGAAGATTGCCTATATTAAACTGGAAGATAAAGTTTCAGGTAAAGTGCAGGTGACTGCCTAATGTATCAAGGATATTGGTTTGGAATGCTTCATGTTGGTGATTGGAATGAAAATAGCTATCAACTAGAATTCTAGTTTTTGCTTCCTTTGCTCAAAGAGCTTCTTTTTCGTGTCTGTCAGGGGAGCTCTTTGCTCAGGCACCAGTAGAACAATATCCTGGTATTGCTGTGGAGACAGTGACAGATTCCAGCCGTTACTTTGTAATCAGGATCCAGGATGGTACTGGTAAGGGGTCTGGGATTTTGAATGGGGTGAAATTAGGAAAATAATCAGTGTACTGCACTTTAATAAAATTGTGTCCTTATTCCATTTCTCTTATTTCTGTTTAATAAATTTTCTTTCTTTTTGAGGTTATTAAGGGGCCGGGGAGATAAGTGGAATAAGCATTTCCCTGGCAAGTGCAAGGGCCTGAGTTCAATCCCCAATTCTGCCAAAAGAAAAAAAAAATGAAGTTATTAAGGTTGGGCTGGGGAGTTAGCTCAGTAGAATAATCGCTTGCTGGCAAGTACAAGATCCTGAGTTCAATCCCCAGGCCTGCAAAACAAAACAAAACAAGGTTGAGAGAGCATTTTTACAAAGATGGTGCTGAAGGTAAAGAAGGAAGCCCCTGCCCCTCCCAAAGCTGAAGGCAAAGCAAAAGCTTTGAAGGCCAAGAAGGCCATGCTGAAAGGCAGCCACAGACACAAAAAGAAGATACGAATGTTACCCACCTTCCCCTGTCCCAAGATACTGCAGCTCTACAGGCAGCCCAAATAGCCTTGGAAGAGCACCCCCAGGAGAAATAAGCTTGACCACTATGCCATCATCAAGTTCCCCCTGACCACTGAGTCAGCCATGAAAAAGATCGAGGACAACAAAACACTTGTGTTCATTGTGGATGTCAAAGCCAAAAAGCACCAAATCAAATTAGCTATAAAGAACCTGTATGACTTCGATGTTGCCAAGGTCAATACCCTAATCAGGCCTGATAGAAAAAGTCATATGCTAGAATGGCACTCAGTTATGATGTACTGGATGTTGCCAACAAAATTGGGATCATCTCAATTGAGTCCAGCTGGCTAATTCTAAATACATACTTCTCTCCCCTCCTCCCATATAGAACAAAAATAAAACAAAGTTATTAAGGTTGCTGGTAAAGAAAGATTAACATGTTTTTAATAGATGTGAATACAAATTTAAGATGTGGTAATTAGTCGATAGGGCTTAAATAAACCAAATGCTTATCAAAAGAATTAACACATTTTGTTCATTTCTTGTTTATGGTGGTTTTTGGTGAGACTGCCTTTAATTATTGGTAACTCTCAGTCATTTTCTTGTAGTTTATGACAAAGGCTGGCAAGCACAGATAGAAAAGTAACTATTTTAGGTTTTTGGATCATATAGTCTGTATTGAAACTAATGTACTTAGTTTTTTTACTGCAGTGTGAACATAGCTGTAGATAGTATATTTCCAGATTGATATGACTGTCAATAAAACTATTTATAAAAAGCCTGTGGCAGGCTTTTGACTATAGTTTGTAGGTAACTTGCTAACTCCTGGTCCATAAAAAGGTTTTTCTTTTGGTCTTTTGAGACAAGGTCTTGCTATGTTATGCATCCTAACCTTGAGCTTGTTTATGTAGCCCAAGCTGGCCTTGAACTGAAGCGATCCTCCTACCTTAGCTTCTTGAGTGCTGAAATTATAGACCTTGCCTGGCTGTGAAAAAATGTTTTACCATCATAAACTTTTATCTACTTGGGGAATTGTTCTATTTTCATTGGGTGTAAGTTTTCACAGGGAACACTTCCCATTCTGACTGTTTCTGTCTTTTGTAGGGCGCAGTGCGTTCATTGGCATTGGCTTCACAGATCGGGGAGATGCCTTTGACTTTAATGTTTCATTACAAGACCACTTCAAGTGAGTAAAGCTTGTCATTTGTTACCAAGTTAAATGGTCATGGGATGCTGCTTCTCTGTTCAGGGGGTACTGTGTCTTTTACCCCTGGTTTCTTTATCAGTAAACTAGCTCGTGATGAATGTAAATCCCTCCATTCATTTGTGTGTTCTTAAGTTATCTCTGTGTCTCTGTTTCCTTTCTATATAACTATGGTTTTTTTTTGGTACCGGGAATCAAATTCAGAACCTTATGCTTGCCAGGCAGGCACTTATGCTACTGAGCTATCTCTCTGGCTTTGATTATGTTTTTTTCTTAAAAATATTTAATTTACTTATGTATCTATTTGGTACAGGGTCTTTTTTTTTATTTATTTGAGAGAGAGAGAGAGAGAGAGAGAGAGAGAGAGAGTGGTGTGTGTGTGTGGCCAGCTCAGCCCACCAGGGGGCGGGGCTGGCTGGCATGTGGTGCTGGGGGATCGAACCGTGGTCCCTGATGCTTTGCTAAGCTTGTTCTAAGTAGGTGCTTTAGACCACTGAGCCATCTCTCCAGCCCCTGGTACAGGGTCTTGATACACAACTACAGAGGTGTGTGCCACCACACCTGGTTTCGATGGCTGGTTCTGCATAGGGCTGGTATGGCACGTGGTACTGGGGATTGAACACAGGTCCTTGAGCTTGCCAGGCAGGCGCTAGACCACTGAGCTATCTCCCTGGTACCTGATTATGTTTTGAAACCTTGTTTATTGGCTTGTTTATGCCTCTGGAGAATTTGTCCTTGCTTTCAAGTAGTGGAGGGATGGGGGCCTGGGAGATGGCTCAGTGGAATAAGCACTTTCCTGGCAAGTGCAAGGGCCTGAGTTCAATCCTCAGTTCTGCCAAACAAAACAAAACAAGTAGTGGAGGGAGTTGTACAGTGGAGACAGGTTGTATGTAAAATATGTGGGAAGTTCTGTGCCAATTTTGTTACCATATGGAGGTGACAAGTTTTATGCATGTTTTTTCTGTACAGTGAATATTCACCTTTTATTACAGATAACATTTCTCTGTATTTGCCTTTTTATTTATTTTTTTAATTTTTATGTATTTAGTACAGGAGTCTACAGGGCTTTACTACATAGATTGGGTTCTGTGTAGTAAGAATCAGTAGCGATTTTCCTATTTTCAGCCTCCTAAGCACTGGAATTACAGGCGCACGCCACCATGCCCAGTCTCAGTCGTCATCTCAGCGCACTCTGGGGGTGGGACTGGCATGGCACGCAGGGGATTGAACCCCGCAGGGCACTGAACCCTGGCTGCTGTGCTCTGCCTAAGCAGGCACTTTAGTCTGCTGAGCTACCTGGCTGGCCCTTTAATGTTTCTTCTGTTCACCTGAAACTGGTGCAGCTGGTAGACAGCACCATACATGCCATCAGCTTCCTCTTCTGGCCTCTGCTTTTCTGCTTGGAAGTTGTGGAAGGCATTTCAGTTAGCACAAAGTATAAGCCACAAGGACTAGGGAGCTAATTTTCACTCAAGGCAGCACTGAGCCATGGGGACGGGAGTCAGTGGTTAGAGGCCCTCTTTTTTTTTTTTTTCAAATCAAATTGGAAGGACAGTTTCAATAATTAACACATTGCATACATTCCTCCCAGTGGTTAATTGCTGTACAAGATGCGAACATGATATCCTATCTACAAACACCATTAGAACACATCATTCTATTCATTAAGAGAATGTAACTATATATCTATCCCAACCACCTTGAATACACAGATACAAAATGGACATTCATCTGTATACCCCCTTTTTCTTTTAAATTTTTTTTTTTTAAATTTTATTTATTTATGTGTGTGTGTGTGTGTGTGTGTGGCCAGCTCAGTCCCCACCAGGGGGTGGGCTGGCTGGCATGTGGTGCTGGGGGATTGAACCGTGGTCCCTGGGCTTTGCTAAGCTTGTTCTAAGTAGGTGCTTTAGACCACTGAGCCATCTCACCAGCCCCTATACCCCTTTTTTTGTTAAGTTCCATTATTTGAATATTATAGGTGTGTTAACTCAGCAAAATAATCCAAAAGAGTTCAGTAGTCCCTAATAGTATTGGGTCTTCCGCTTCACTGGCAATGTCAGAAATTGTTGACCTGAGTGCCCTATTAGAGGCCCTCTTTTTTAGTGCTGCTTGGGATAAAACCTAGGGCCTTTGCATGTGGTAGTCAAGTGCTGTACTACTGACCCAGACCCTTTGTCCCTTTTGGGAGAGACAAATCTTAACAGCCATTTTGTTTGGTTCCCCAGAAGGTTCTCAGTAGGCTTGAATGCTGGTTGGCCTCTCGCTTTTTTTAATAAATTTCCTTTTTTACTCTTCTTGGTCTCTTACTTTGCTTTCTGGAGTCCCATTTCATATAAACTAAATATACCCAGATCTGTGTGTCAAAATCTGCTTTTAGGGAATCCCAAACTAAGATCACATACTGTTTCCTGAAAGGTGGGTAAAGCAGGAAACTGAGATTTCCAAAGAATCGCAGGAAATGGACAATCGTCCCAAATTGGATCTAGGCTTCAAGGAAGGACAGACCATCAAGTTGAGTATTGGGGTAAGTATGTTTTTTTAACGTTTTATTTTCTTTTTCATTGCCCTGTTTTGGTTTGATGCTGGGGCTGTAATCCATAGCCTTTTGCATACTAAGCAAGTGTCTGCCCCTGAGCTGCATCCCTGTCCTATTTTCCTGTTGTTTTACAAGCTTGTAACATCTTTCCTTTCTTTCACCCTCCTTATCTTTCAGAACATTACAACCAAGAAAGGAGGAGCATCTAAGCCCAGGACTGCAGGCGCTGGGGGCCTAAGCTTACTCCCACCACCTCCAGGAGGCAAAGTCACTATTCCGCCCCCATCCTCAGTGGCCATCAGCAACCATGTCACCCCACCACCCATTCCAAAGTCTAACCATGGAAGTAGCGATGCAGGTAAATCTAACACTTTCAACTTTGGAAATCACATCTTGTTTTCAGTTAGGTAACACCTGTCTACCCAGAGGAGTATTGATGTTTTTAACTAGGAGGTGGTGCTTAGTGCTGGCAAGGGATCAGAGCTTTTCTGGTGAACAGAGTCATGGTTCTTACTAGGTTGTTTGACAGATAAAATGTTAATAAAAAAGATCATTTCCTTCATTGTTTGTTAGTTAGATGCTAATAGGCATGTGAATCAGATGGATAAAGATTGTGGTTATGGCTGTAGACATAGCTGAACATACTTCTAAATATTTATGTTTTTTGACTCAGTTTTCTCGTTTACGGAATGGTTATATAAAACTGTCCTAGGATGATAAGGTTCAGTGATGTGAGAGCACCTAGCATAGCTCTTGGAATATTGTACCCAGTCAGTAAAGGTCCATCCAGTCCCTTCCTCCGCCCTCCCTCCTAGCTTCCCTTTCTCTTCCTCTTTCATTTTGTCTTTTTGCCCCTTTCTCTTTTTCTCTTTCTCCTTTCTTATTGTGTCTCACATTCTCTTTATCTCCTTTCATTTATTTTCTCTCTGAGGATTAAATCCAGGGACTCCCACATGCTAGGTTAATGCTCTCCTAGTGAGTTATAGCTTCAACCCTAATATTGTTTCTTAGTCTTCTCCATTTTTTTCAGGACAGCGATTGGGAGAAAAGGAAGGGACATTTAGGCTGTGTTCTTCCTTACAGTGTGGTGGCAAAAACCAAATATAGTCACAGTTTCTTATTTGAAAAATAAGAGTAGTAGAACTCAGAGGAATATTCTTAAGATTAGAGAACCAGATTTAAGTAAGTGGGACTTCTAACTTAACATATTGGACAATGCAGGCCAGTTTTTGAATTGATTATTAAAGGTAAGCTTTCTCTTTGTAGAATTTTTGAGATGAAAACATAGCCTACCTATATTGCTAAGTGTCACCAGAAGGTCCTAGGGATGGTATCTAGGATTTATTTATTTTTTGGTACTGGGAATTGAACTTGGGACCTTGTGCTTGTCAGGCAGGTGCTGTGCTGCTGAACTATATCCCTGGTCTCTAAGATTTATATTTTAAATTAAACTTTTGGAAATCATTGTAGATTCATATGTAGTTGTAAGATGTGTTACAAAGAAATTTGATGTGTCCTCTGGTCTGTTTCCTTCAATGGTAGCATCTTCCAGAAGTGTTTTTTTTTTTTTTTTTTTTTTTCCGAAAGCCTTCAAGGCATGACTGACTGGCTTGTGTTGTGGGGATCGAACCACAATGAGATGTTTGTAGACACCGAAGCAGCCG